AAAAAAAAAAGGAACTGCATCGGCCTTCAATCGATTTTTACTAGAGTAAGGATTAATACAATTTTCCGATGTAAAGTGTTCGCCGCAGTGCTGACGTTTAAATATCGTGGATCTTTTCATTTTCACGATCCAAACAGAGAGGAGAAACGGCAGATCTTTTCAGTTAGCGGAGCTGTTCTGACAGTCTCCGGTGCAACAAAACCGCGGAATCGTGGCTTATTTTTCTGTAAATGTCAATACGTACGCACTTGTTTTGGTTGTTGTTGTACCCAATTCAAGTCACGTAACACCCGCACGTGAGTTAGCCGAATCCGTCTATTGGGCAGTTCATTAAAAATCTTGGCTCCTTGATAGTGAAAGCTTTTCTTCCCAAATTCAAGGCGAACTTTGGGTAGTTTCACTGATAAACCATTGTTCCTTGTGTTCTTAGGGTGAAGTGATCTTAAAGGGGATGCAAACACAATTTGAAGACAGTCCAAGGCAAACTGACTGCTTTTGCGCTTAGTTAAGTTCTCTGCTGATGGTAGTTTTAGATTGCTGTTACCAATAATTTTCAAACTTCGTTGTTCAATGTTCTTTATCAGAAGGATATTAGAGAAGGGGTTCGAGATACGAACCACTCAAGGCGGTCCCCTGTACCTCCCTGGGGGAATGGGGGAATCCTCTCCGGAAAATGTTTAAAATTGAGGTCCTCGGAAATAGGATTTCTGGTATTCTGAGGCTAAGTCAGCGAGTTACAATGTCTCATTCTTTTTAATTTAGGGGATTCGACCCTCGAACCCCCCTAGATCCGCCCCAGAAGTCCAGTACCTTTACTACTAGAACGCGGCATACATCTGGTACTTTTGTGACAGTCTTCGTAAAGTCTACAGTAACCAAGCTTTAGGGGGCAAAGGGTAGAAAAGACGCGACCGAAGCTAGACTGAAGGCAAACCGAAGAACCCCTTTCCACCTTATGTTCTTTCGACCTGAGAGCTCGTTTGCAGGTTGAAATTCTTCTCTACTACCCGCAGTTCTATTTTAAACACACAGAGACCGCTGACTGAATGCCTCAGCGGAGCAAGGCTCATACTTACCGAACAGACTCTCCGTTCCATAACTTGGGACATCTTCGCGCATTTCGTAGGCCAAGTGTTGAAAACCGACTTGAAGAAAAACATAGTTCTCTCTGAACAAACGTTGAAGTGTCGGGATGAGCAAAATAGGAAAAAGAGAAAATAACAAGAAAATTTAGAATTATTTAAACAACTGTACATGAGCGTAATCAAGAGGCGACGAGCTCAGACGTCTGAAAAGCACTAGAGAAACCGGATGAAAACTGCATGGAACCTTCCAGGACAAAATGCTGTCCAGCGTTATATTGATCCTGGGCAATCAATCAACCAATCAATCAATCAATCAATCAATCAATCAATCAATTAATCAACCAATCAACCAACCAATCAACCAATCAATCAATCAATCGATCAATCAATCGACTTATTAAAATCAAAACGTTGGACTAGGTTGCACTCCATATTCGAGCCAGAGGCCCAGAAATAAAACGCTTGACTATAAGTCTTAAAATTAAACAAAAAAAATCCACAGATCGGTTGTAGTAGCGTTAGACTGATATTTAATTGCATTTAAAAGCGACAACTGCTTCTTCGATTTAGCAGGGACATATTATGATTATAACGAGCTCGAAGCTGGCTCATTACTCCTTATTAACCGAGTGCGAGGGCCGCACTTACAGAACATCGCCGGGGTTCTTCTTGTAAAAATCGAACAACGCGGAGTCTCGGTCCCGAACGGTTAGCGATGTTTAAGAAGAACTGAGTTTATTGTAATGCCATCGTTTACCTTGTGCCTTCCGTGTTTTGAAAGACAGCGTGGCATTTAATTATAACATCGCTCATAATACCTGCGGACGGCCCCTGCAGACATTACGAAAAAATCTTGGTCCGACTATCACCCAGTTACAAGTCACGTAATAAATTAGTACTCGGCTGTAATCACATAAGATGGTTCAACCAACCTTTGAGCTCACAAGCGTAATTATTATTTCTACAACACAAACCTTGTTTGAGGTAATTCGTATTGCAGAAATAATAATAATAATAATCATAATCATAATAATAATGATAATAACAATACTACTACTACTACTACTACTACTACTACTACTACTACTACTACTACTACTACTACTACTACTACTACTACTACTACTACTACTACTAA